GGGCGACCCCTGCCGCCGCCGCTCGCTGCAAGCTTTGCCGTGCAGCCTGGGCACCGTGCCCCGCCTGATGCTCGTACGAGCATGGAAGGCACTTGGCTGGGCACCACTATCCAGCCAGCCAAAACGCTTGCTCCTGGCCTTATTCCTCCCGCCTTTCTACCTCCACCTGGGGCTGGCAACTTAAGTGCCAGGCAGCTCCTTCCAGAGATGGTTATTGCCTTATACTTTGTTGAACGTTATGGTTAACTTCTTGGATACCTACTGGGATTTTGCAGATTTTTTAAGCAGCACAGTCTCGGAGCAGAAGGACGTCTTTGCTGTCTCGTGCCCCACGCAGGCTGGGCTGCAGCCACACGACGTTCTGCTTGGCGGGCTGTGGTTATCCGGCAGGACCAGGCTGCTGCCCGCGGGCAGCGGTTCGTTCTCCGAGCAGCTTTGCAGCTTTCCCTCGCTCGCTCCCGTGTCTTGCTCCAGCTGAGTGGGAGGGTTTGGACAGCCCGGCGCGGGGACTGGGGGGAGTGATGTGTCCTTGTCTTCATTCGGTGTTGCTGGCCGGGTGGCCACCATCGGCGTGCTGGGTCTGGACGCCTCCGAGACTCGTATAACAGGGAGGGTGCTTTCAGCTGCTGCGTGACCGTTCATGTGGAGCTTCTTCATGTGGTGCACAACGGCTGCGGCGTTGAAGGCTTGCTGGGGAAGAAGACAAGATCCCCACGGTGAGCACCTGGTGATGCCAGGCTGGGTGGGCGCTGCGGGACTAACGGACTGTCCCCCTTGGGCGATGACCGCGCCTGGGGCGGGCAGCGCTGGACTGCTTAGCGCTGTCTGTTTGCACAATACGTGGAAAGTGGGACGTGCGCATCGCTGGCATAAACACCGCGCTTAAACTCAACTCTGTTGAGGGCAAACTGCGGATGCTTTTGAAGATTACAACTGCTTCTATGTGAGGAAATGGGGGGAACAGCTGTAAATTGCCCCGCAGTGTGAAATGGAGACTAAAGCTGAATTTTAAATGTGAATATTTAAAATGCTATTGTAGACATGGTTCCTATGGTATTCCTCTCTCCACCTAAATTCTTACTACAACTCTTGATGTAAATGAAGTACCAATTTATCTTCAAGGCTGAAAAAAGGAAAAGCTGGATTAAACTCCCAAAAAGATCTGCTGCCGGAGCACCAATTTCACCCCCTCGGTACAGAGGCCGTAATCCTTCCCCTCTCCCCTTTGCTCCCTTGGCGAGGCCACCGTAGCGCAACGTTTGCGGTAAATCTACCCGTATGCATTGCAGCAGGGAATAATGGCCCAAATATCCTATAAAGAGTAAGTGCATACAGTTCTGAGGCAGCCTTTGGAGGATCCCGGCTCTTGGGTGCTCACCCCCAGCTGCAGCCTTGCTTATTGCTGGATGGCAGCAACTGGCCTTTGTTAGTGAAATGGCTCCGGGCTCCCACCAGCAAACAACTTACCCTCCATTTGCTCTTTGCAAAGTTTTTCTGAATCTGAGCGCTGACAGATGGGTATATGTCACGGTGAAGGGCTGTATTTCCATTAATCCTGCAGATGGGGAGAGAAGAAAATGGGCTCGTAGGCAGATGGCATTTGTAAGGCATTCCACATTCTGGAGGCAACTAACTGCTTTGTACGTTCAATCAGCAATAATTAAACCCAAAGGAAAAACAGCAACAAAATGTAACACAAACACACGCTTCAAAGCTTGGAAGAGCCCAAGATGGGATTTCTTCTTTGCCGCTGTTTATGCAGGCAAAGATGCACAAATTGCATCTTTAATTATTCATCGTTTTCTTTCTTTGCACACAAAAAAGAAACACCAGGACCGTGACGTTAATAACGGGGGCTGGGGAGACACCCCTGTTCTTGGCCACCACGAGCACGTGGAGCAAGACGTGGGTGCTGGTAAATCCCCTGGCCCGCCGTCGCTGCCGGGGCCCCGGTTCTCTCACCATGGGTGCCGCAGGGCTTCTTCACAGGTAAACCTCGTGTTCGGGTTTTTCTCCAGTAAATGTTTGATGAAATCTTTGGCTGTTTGGGAGGGGAGGAGAAGCAGAGAGAGAAGGTTATTTGCTCCCTGTTCCAAGATATGATCCTAACAGGACGTGGCAAATACTAGTGGATAAACATCGCAAAGGTCAGCCCTGAGAAGGAGGTGTTCGTACCGCTTCATCACCCCGTTAAAGGGAGACGTTTGTAGTGAAGGGCTCTAGATGAAAAGAATGTTAACTGGGGATGCACCAAACTTCACGCTTAATTACATGGATTTGAGTTGAATTATTCAGCTAAAAAATAACTCTAAAAAACATAAGAAAGTGCAAACTGAGCAGATTTTAAAGTTGCCCTAAAGAGCACTTACATCCCTCCTTTTTTTTCTTTTTTTGCAAGGAGGATTCCAGTATTTGTAACTACGTCCTAACAAACCTCCTGCTAGTTTTGTTTGTACGTATAAACGATTGGCGTTCAAATCATGCTGCTAAGATGCTGGCTTCAGTAAACTCTGCGTGGGCCAGCTCCCCAGGCAGGTTAGCCTGCTGGGAGGGTGCAGCGGTGGCTGACGCGGCTCACTGCGTTGCTGTAAGGAAATGCAACCTGAGGGGAAGAAAAGCAAGGGGGAGAAGAAAAAAAGAAAAGAAAAACAACAGAAAAACAAGGTGAAAAAATCCTGGAGTTCCCCTGCTTGTATGGGAAACCGCTGCCCACGACAGAGGCTTCAGCCGAGGTGCTGCGTTGCAGGCAGGATGCAAAGTGCCCCAAACTCTGCCAGCGCAGCTCGGCTCTGGCGTCACCGCCCCCGCTGCTGCGGTGCCGGGAGCTCTGCGGTCCGTTCCCACGCCTGGGGGTTTGCTGCAGGGTGACTCAGTCCAATGCTTCATCCTTTCCTGCCCCTGCCGAGGCGAGCCAAGCGCGTTCGGGGGGTGCCGGGGGCGTGTGGCTGGTGCAGGCTCGTGCCCGCGGGTCGCGGGGCTCTGGGTTGCGGTTGTGGGAGGGAGTGCGGCGCTTCCCAGCGCCGGAGCTTTACCTGACTCGGAGATGTCATCCCAAAATGGAGACTCAAACTCATAGTAGCCTTCCTTAATTTTTTCAAACAGTTTGGATTCAGTCTCTTCGTAGAAAGG